GCCGAGGTTTGATCACGTGATATGCATAGTTGCGTCTTTGCATGCTCCTCGCCAGTCACGACTCAAAAGAGACTTCTCATTCACGGATTTTATGAACTCAAAGACTCACACTCATACCTGGTTGGTGACTCTTAACATCACGATCTCTTCTCCATTCGTGATCTAGGCATTTCGAATCATTCAACACTCGTGACTCGACTTCGCAACTCGAGTCGTAACGCATGCTTACGACTGGACTTCCCGCTTCTTGCGGCTCTCAAGCACAGACGGTGAATCCACACTTCTCGAGAGTGTCTGCGTAACCTCGAAGCCGATCCCGCTTCTCATCGTTCCCTTGCCCAGCAGGTAGCAACTTGCGCAGGAACAATTCAACGGTTTGCTCCACGTGCCTTCAGCACATCTGATACGCCCCTGCATGTCCACTTCTGCGCGGGGATATGGGCTCTTTGCTCGACTCAGACATGAGACTCCACCTTGTCCCCGCATGACAAGCAAGTCAGCACCCGTGCACCTGGTCGAAGCACAATGGAGGGAGCGTGCAGCGAATTTTGGCCACAAGCGCTCTCACCGCGGAGGTCTACACACCTCTTCAGTCACGCTTGATGGCTCCCGCAGCACGTCTTCTGGACGCTGGGAGACGCATACACGCGATGCTCCTGCTCGAAGGGGCTACGATGTGCCGGAGCGGAATGAGCGGCACACAGAAGGCACTGCCCTTTGGAACGACGCCAGCGCAAACCCCTCATCGTCCCGCCCATCCATACCTGCCAGCGCTCAGATCCGTCTGGCCAACGTGAAAATAGACAATGTGCCGCATGGCGCAACGCCTCACGACATCTATCGCCTCTCTCCCATTTCCCGTCACATTACTGCCTTCCGTTTCCGTCTACGCTCCAAAGATCTCTCGAAAGCAGGTCGAGTCTACCTCTCTTTTGATCCCAGCACCATCAGGAGTTGTGAACCTGCGTACCCGCTCGACGAGAAGGGAAAAGAGGTTTGGAAAGAGGCTATCGGGATGCGAGGAAGTGTGCTTGGACGTGCAAGGGATGCGGCGGACAAGTGGGTCAAGGAGGTGAATGGGAGTATTCTAGCTGGACAGTTGCTCAAGGTGACACCGGTGAGTGGTACGCACATGCTCTCTCCGCTCGTCTCGCTCCCACTTGAATCTGACACGCTATACGTCTTGCAGTTCTCTCTGCCGATACCTCTACCTGTTAGCTCTTCTGCTCTGCTCTCCCGTCTGATCCAAACAGAATCGGGCAAGCTGGTGCATTTGCAAGGCCTACCGGCTAATCTGACAGCTTTGCATCTGGAGAGGATTCTCAAGAGCTATGGGGGTCCTGGGGTGGGCGCGACGAGTGCTGCTGGCAGATACGAGATCAGGCAAGGCAAAATCAAGAATGTGTCGGGAGAGGTTGGTCCAGTATGGAGAGAATGTGGCGTGATCAAAGTGATGTGAGCATGTGGAGCATATGTACCGATCCTGCTTGCATCGGGCGCTGATCGACCTTTCTGTCTCTATGAGCTGGTGTACAGACCAAAGGAGCAGTCCGAACCTCCTCGAGCGTCCTTCCTCATCCGTTTACAGACTGTGCCCGAGGCAAATCGATTGGTGCACGAGTGGGATGGAAGAGTGTGGGAGCACAAGCTAGGGGAAGTCATTGATACTGCTCCTCGCTTCACCGATCCCTCACTCGCAACATCCAAGACATCCGGGGACAGGCACAGGACACTGGACTCCAGAGAAGACGAGAAGTTCAGGTCGGCGTTTCACAGAAAACAGAACCTCGTGGAACGGCGCAGACAGCGACTGGAAAGGAATTTTGAGGAATATATCGAGGCAGAAGAGGAAGAGGCGGGAGAGGAGGAGTGGGGAGAGGATCAGGAGGAGGAAGCACTGTTGCGAGGCGAGTTGAGCGAGAAGAAGGATGGGAGGTTGGAAAGGAGACTGAGACGGAACCATACGAGGTTGCAGAGGATGCAGCATCTGCTCATCCGTAACACCCACATCGTCAAAGCCAATGTCTTGTACTAGGAGACACTGAGCCGATAGGCATATGGACGTGTGCGATGCCGCGTAGCGTCCAAGTAGTAAGATTCATGACACACATCCGGCTCCCGTACTTGGGAGTTGAATTTATGTGCTCACCACTGGGACTCTACCTTGAAACGCGTTTTCCACCAACCAAATACTAAATTCAAAAATCAAAGACTACGAAGCTTGATTCTCGTTTCTTGTTTCTGGCTTTCACGCTGAAGTCGACGCTGCTTTTTACGTCATCTCAGAGCAAGCTCACTCATCAACTTTTGAGTGTCACGCACTAAATCTTGAATGCGAAGTGGGCAGGAAGCCAATTTGTGACTTTGCATCTCGACTCAAGATGCTCATCAGATTTATTGAAGATTCTTGATTCACGTGATACAAGATTCAAGATTGTGATTCGTGACTCAACTCTTGAATCACAATTGAATGTGAATGTGAATCAAGAATGCACCACTCTCTAATGCGCCGAAGACGCGAACGTGACTCGGCACTACCGCGGTTGAGAATTGCAGGTCCCTGCAACTGAGCGCGCGCTCTCTCTTTTTCAAGAGACACCACGCAAGACTTCAGCTCGACTCGCTATGCTCACGAAGACCTTCTAGTAGATCATCAACGGAGGAAAAAGATGGTACGGAGATAGGTTGGTCCGCTTGCATCCCCATCATGGGCGAATTGGGTGGTAGCAAAAGTTGCAGTGTCGAAGTGGACGGAAACATTGAGGTTTGGCGCGATCAAGAAGGGAAGGAGAAGGGTGATGATGCACGTGAGGAAAATGGGAATGAAAGTCAGGACGTACACGTTGATGATGCTGCAACTACCTTGCGAAAAGCACGCAAGGATTCACACGCCGAGGAGGAGGAGGAGAGCGATTCAGGTCAAGACTCTTTGTTTGGCGCTTCAGGTCAAGACTCTTTGTTCGACAGCGATGAGGAGCTACAACATCTTGGAGGCGGTGGGACAGGACAAGCAAGCGAATGTCGACAAGCTGTAGACATTGAGCCTGACCCATCAGACATAGCTCAGCGACGGGTGTATGCGCATCAAGTACCAGGTCTACACCTTTTGCACGACATTCTCACATCTCATCAAGCTTCCTCTCTGCTGCAAGACATTGCCGAGCAAGATTACTTCTCTCCCAACCAAGCAGATCGAGCGGGCAGAAATCAAGTGATGCTCTTCGGCAGAGGAGGTGCAGAATTTCTTTCGGGTCCAGACGAGGCGCCGCAGCAGCAGCAAGGATCCTCAACGAGCGCACATCTGGACGCGGAAGATGTGCAGAGGGAACGGCAAACATGCTCGGGAATACCTCGTTGGGCTCAAAGTCTTTTGAAGGTGTTGCAGGAAAAATGCGAGCATGCACTACCGAAGGAGACTTGTGCGGTGCTGTTCGATCCGGTCAAATGCGGCGAGACGTTTGACTCGGATGGGACTAGCAAAGGTGTGCGGGAGGGTCAAGACACCCACCACTGCCAGGCGGTGTCTGACGGGCCGGTGATTGTTGAGAAAGTGGGCGCTGCTCTTGAAACACGTGGACAGAAACGCAATGCAGAGCAACACACGCCTGCTGATGAAGAAAAGATGCTCGACACAACCGACGAGCTCGAGTTCGGGTCCTTGCACCGCCACCACAGAAAGTTCAAGTCTAGCGCACTCGACCATACCTCTACCCTCGTCGCATCCAACAAGGACGCCTCGTCCGACAGTCTTGGACCATCTGCCCCTCTCTCGCCAAGCAGACCTTCAAATCAAGCATCAACATTAACAATGTCGTGCAAATCTGCCTATCGTCGAGCGCGTCAGCTCATCCTAAACCTGTACGAACCTGGCGCGGGTATCGCATCGCACATTGATCTAGCTCATCGTTTCGACGATGGCATCTTTTGTCTAAGTCTAGGCAGCGGCGTAGTCATGACTTTTGCCCGCAGCGATCTTCAGCCTGTCCAGACGGCCACAGGGACGCGGGAGCGCAAGAACAAGAGCAAGAGCAGACCCGATTTCAAATCAAGAATCATGCACGAGTCGAAAGCCGAGTCGAAGGCGAAATCGGAATCGGAATCGGAATCGGAATCGGAATCGGATAGACTGAGCATCTGGTTACCTCCTAGAAGTCTGCTCATACTCACAGGCAAAGCAAGGTGGCAATACTTGCACGGCATCGAAGCACGTCCGGGAGATTGGGTGTCTGATCAAGGTGCGCATTCGCACGGGATGGCAGCAACGTCCGATCCGAATTTCGACGGCAACGCCTGTGCGGAGCCGCTGCGGCAAGGAGCAGAGGAGCGACGCGTTCGGATCAAGCACAGCGACCAACGCTTTTCGGACCGTCAGCGCTCTTGCTCGTACATACCTAGACAGGTCAGACTGAGCA